CTTCTTACACAAAGAATAAAAAAAAGATCTTGCAAAATTGAGATCCGCAAAATTGTGTTACTCGCCCAAGCTTATCAAAGGAATTCGACCCTCATAGAAGGCAATCATGGCTCCTCACAGAACAAGCAACTCGTCACACAGACACATAAGAAGACAACCACCATGATCTCTCGCTCTCCTCCAGAGTGGATATCCTCACTCATACACATCAAGCTCGACTACAGGAAAGTGCCTACTCAAGGGGGCCTCAGTTCGTCTTGCCACGACCATCCAAATTACATTTCTCCATTCCAACAACACAACTTACACGCCTATGTCTTCTAAGGTGATTTGAGGCGATTAACATAGGTCGTTTGCAATAGGGATGTCAAAATGGGTTTTTGGGTCGGCTTCGGGTTCGAACCGAAAATGACCATCATTATTTGATCCGACCCAAACCTAACATGTTGACCCAGGTGCAGAACAAGCAAGCGAGCACGGGCTACGGGGTTGAGCGAGGACTGTGGGTGTGCGAGGTCAAGCACCAGTGAGGCAGGGCGCGTGTGCGGGGTTGGTAGCGCGTGCTCGGACGAGACAAGGAGCTAGTGCGAGACGCAAGGTCGAGCTTAGGCAAGGCATGCCGCAGGTGCGGGACACGGGAGTGATGCGATGCAAGCAGGATTTGGGTCATCCGAGTCAACTTTGAGCTTTTAGGTCCACCTAAACTCGACCTAATTTTAAAAACGAGTCAGAAATCAAAACCCGACCAGACTCATTTTCCAAACAAATTGACCCAAACATATAATTTCTCATTGTTAATCTAGCCTAAACATTGATGAGAAAGAGCTGTTCAAATGAAATGAATTAAACTAGCTTATATTGATAAATAATAATAATAATAATAATAGTAATAATAATAATAAAATACTACTCTGATCAATGCACTGTCTAATATTGGAGCTTAATTTCTATGATGGTGAGCAAAGCTAAAAAATGTTGAGCATATATAATCTTGATGCATGATATGAATGATTTTGAACAATTTTAATTATCTTTGTAATAAAGGATTGGAAGGAGAAAAGAAGTCTTTTTAGGGGAATATTGCTAAGCTGAATGAGGTTATTTGGTTTAGTTCTGTAACAGAACATTAAAAAAATATCGCAAAAATATTAGTGGCAGTCCTATGTACCCTAAACTGAGAAATAATTGGTAGCTGAAAATTAATCTAATGACAAGAGCCTCTATCAATCACCAGAAGAAAAACGCAGTAAGAGGAGAGTAATTTCAATTAAAAAATTATCACTTTTATCATTTTTTTAAGGAAGTTTAGGCCACACGTAAGTTAATTTTTGGCTGGACAAATCCGTCGCAAAATAAGTTTTGCGACGAATATTATCCGACGTAAAAAGTGATATCATAAAATTATTTGTGGCTGAAAAAAATCCAACACGAATATTTCCAACGGATTTGCAATATAATGTAAGCCAAAAAAAACCACAAACTGCTAAAAAAACACTGAAAAATATCTCCCGCCTGATTGGATGCTCATGGCTGACCGGACTGTCCGCGCCATCTCCTGCATGACCAACCCACTCGAGATTCGAACCTACTCCACTCATAAATCATCTCCCTTCTCTATTCGGCCGTAGAGACAAAACACATTATAAAGAATTTTTTTTTTTAAAATTAATATCATAACTTAGCTTGCGGCGCATTTGCGGGGGCAATTTCTATAACAAATTTTGCTGGCAGAAATTTCGCCTCAAATTCGACGCAAAAAAAAAATCATTGAAAATTTCCGTCGCCATTTTCGATAAAAAATAATCCGTTGTAAAGTTCTTCACCAAATGTTAGATTTCCTGTACTGAATTAAGACAAATTCACACACAAATTATATATATATATATAAGACTCGAATTCAAGACCTCTTAATGAGTAGCCAAAATTTTCAATCAACACGCCAAAGAAAATTGCGCATCAATCACTTAAAAACATCAGTTATAATGACCATGTAAAATATGATAAACCTTCCATTTTAATAGTCTCAGTTATCTATAAAGCATGCTTTGTTATTACTTAATCCCAAAAAAAAATGAAGTGGCCATTTAGCATGCATTAGAGATTTGTACAGTATGTAGTACAAGAATGGATAAAAATCACTGTCATTCCACCAAGAAAAGGATAGTGGAGGCCCTTAACCTTGAACTTTTATTTGGTCCGGTGAACGTACGTAGAGCTACGTCCGATTGGCACTAAGATTGCATGCACAAAATGAGAAATACCGAGCAATATCAATAATAAAGAGAAATATCATTAGGGGAAGACAAAATAACGAGTTATACCGAGCAATACCGAGTTATACCAAAAAATACCGAGAAAAACTCGGTATTGCTCGGTATAACTCGGTATTGGTCTTCCAGAGCGGTATTCCTCCATGTTATCAAACAATACCTATCAATACTGATAAAATACCGAGCAAAAATTGAGTAACAAGCCTCTGACCGGACGTAGATCTACGTCCGGTCAGAGGACGTAATAATTGTTCCTTAACCTTAGGGTGACAATCTCAAAACTATAGGTGTTACCTAATTTAAATGATTAATATTTTAATTTTCAATTTAAAATTTTGAGTTCAAATTTGTCTCATATCAAATTTATTTTTGGGCACTCGATCGAAAAAAATATCAACACTTCATGGGCCCCACAAGCATCCTTTTGATTGTTCGGATGATTTTATATACAAATTAGCTAATTCAATTGATTTTGATTATGAAATTGTACAAAAAAATTGCTTTAGAAAGCAGTAAAAAAGTTATCTCAAGTGAAACCTAATTCAAATTGAATTTTAATTTGTTCAATTTGATTCAGTTTTGAATAAATCAAAATATAAATAATTTTAATCATAAACTTAGTTATCATTAGCTTACATAATATATTTAAAGAAGAGAACAAAATAATTTTTATTAAACTTGAAATAAAAAGTCCAAGTTGATCCTTATGTCATTTATTATTTACATAATTTTATTGATTTAATAATTGAATAAATTAATTTATTTTAATTTTTATTTAGATCGAATCTTCTAAAATAAAAAAAAATGATGATAATCAAAAGTAAAAAATAAAATAAAATTACAATCAATAGTCAAACTCATGTTTTAACAACTAAATCAAACCAATTAAAATAAGGCCAATTTGATTCAATTTTATCCTAGTAGCGCACACCCCTTCCCACATGAAGATTCACATCATAATAAACAACAATGAGGACAATTTTTTTAAATAATTACATTAATAAACTTTATTGTTAAAATAAATCTGAAAAATAAATAAATAAATAAAGCTAGCAAAGTTAGACAGACAGCGCGAATAGGTATATATATAAAAAAAAAGCAGCCCTTGCCGACGGCAGCAACTGGCTTTTTTATATTAATAATTTATATATAAACTTTTACCCAAGTGATTCATAAGAAAATAAAAATAACAATAATAGAAAAAAAACTAAGTCGCTGACAACAGCTGTGATTGGCTTATATATATATATATATAATATAATAATTAGTTAATTGAAAATAAATTAAATTTGATGATATAGTAAATTAAGTTAACGCTTAATTTAAACCTGGATTAACTTAAGTTTAGATATAAATTTAAAATAATTTATGAATAATTATTTTTTAGACTAATGTATAGATTATTATTTAATTTAAAATTATATGCATAATTAATTAAAATTAATTAAAAGTTCTAATAAAATGAATGTCAACATTCTACATTGGTTTAACCATTAAGTTTAGTGTAATCTAATATTTTTTTTATAATTGTTATCAGAAAATATTAATGGTAGAGTTCGAGGAGTGTGTGCGCTACAAGATAAGAAATTATTGCGTGAGGAGTTTGAATACGTCGCGACTCCAATAAAAGCGGGCACATATGTTTTGTACAAGAATATACAACTGTACACACTGCACAAATTATAAAATTATGTACATAATGTGTACAAACTTATATACATAAAATACACACTGTGTACACATTGTACATAGAGTGTACAAAATTTGTATAAATTGTGTACAAAACATGTGTCACATTTTTATTAGATTCAGCACGTAACTCTATGTCCGGACTCCGCACGTAATAATATGTCGGCCTATCAGACCTCTACATCATTACACATCAGGCACAGATGTCATACCACGCAGGCCACGACATAGGGTTGTACTTTTGTACTTGTATTTGTCTCATGAATAATCTATGTAATTCAATTCTTAAAATAATGAAAAGCTTAAAACTTCAACATGCTCTTTGTCGATGGCCCTTATGTTATTCCGCAAAGAAAATTTATATTCAACATTAATTCAAATGCACATCTCATAATCTCAAAATTAAGATATTTAATTTGTTTAATAACTTAATTTTACTCCCAGAAAAAATGACCTTTACTGAACTGTCTCACAATAATTATAGGAAATTAATTAGATTACACTAAGTTAATGTTATCAAATATAGTAAGTAATATTAAATTTTAATTATATTTTTAAATTAACTTTAGTTAATTATGCATAAATTAATCAAATAATCTATATTTTAATCTAACAAATTTAATTATTCATAAATTATTTTAATTAAATTTATATCTAACTTAAGTTAATACAAGACCTCAATTAAGAGTTAACTTAATTTAAATATATTATCAGAAATTTAATTTCATATTAACATAATTATATATCTATTATTTTAATAAATATAATTATTCATATTCTTACAAACTTTATATATATAAGATTCAAAAGCCAGTCTCAATTTGTTGTTCAAATGTTTTATTTTTTATTTTTACAGATTTATTTTTAAAATTTGTCCGCACAATGGAAACTTTACATTTCAATTATTTTTATTCTTATATTTATTTTTTGACATAAATGGCAATCTACTCACCCTCACTAACAGTCCCTGCCTGTAAATCACTTCCATTATATCATGGCGCCTTCCTATTGCGCATTATATAAGCAACCGCTTCTCAAGCTCTGAACCGTAACCTTGCACAATCCAACGGCTAAATCAAGTAATAATGGATCCCCATATGCCCTCCAAAGCTGGTAGTAGCTTCTTTAGAACTTGCTTCAATGGAGTAAATGCTCTCTCAGGTTTTAGCCTCTTCTCTTATGTGTATAAATCATCATATATATATATTTGTAAGTTCTTCTTGCATGTATTTGAATGAATATACTCTGATCAGTACCAAAAGCTTATAATTTGCATGCTATAAAAATTCCATTTTTCACTCTAAAATACATTGAAATTCAAAAATAATGTGATTCATCTCCAATCGAACTCCATTTTGCGGGCTTTTGCGAAGGGTAACCGTCTTTCTCCTCTTGGCGAGTTTCTTCGGCAAATCCAGTTGAGACAGAAAAATCGCGTTGGTGAACAGTGCAACGCGTCGTATTGTTCACCCGCAAGCAAATAACGGAACATCTGAACGACGCCATACGCATGTTTTGCATTCGATTGGAGATGCTCTAAGGCATAAGGTGCATGCAATTACAATTCAAAAGATCTATGGAATTGTTCCATGGAAACTTGAGAGAGATATGGCGAGTTTTGAATGGAAAGCTGTTTATTTGTGCCTTATCCTAAACAACTTCAGCGTAATATCGAAGTTCTGTAGCTGAAAGAATCCTTTTTTTTTTTTCAGAAGATGGGAAAAGCTATATTTGTTAAAAATAGTAGTTTTCATGGTAATAAAAGAAATGTTTTTTCACTTCTAGTCAATGATACCATCTATAGGCTACCTCATAAAAAAATGACCTGATTCAAACTTTCAGTTTAAAACCTAATACCAAAACAAAAATGTCTTCTTCTCAGGATTTGGAATCCTGTCAATTCCATATGCTCTAGCAGAGGGAGGATGGTTAAGCTTAATGCTTCTTTTTGTCTTGGCTGCTATCTGTTTCTACACTGGACTACTCCTTCAAAGATGTATGGATTCAAATTCTCTTGTCAGAACTTACCCAGACGTTGGAGAGCTAGCATTTGGGTTGAAAGGAAGAATGTTGATAGCTTTCTTCATGTACCTTGAGCTCTATTTCGTCGCGATTGAATTCCTTATACTGGAAGGAGACAACTTGGGGAAACTATTTCCACAGGCAAAATTTCACATTGCAGGTCTAAAACTAGGAGGAAAATCAGGCTTTGTTATTTTCTCAGCACTTGTGATATTGCCCACAACATGGCTGAGAAATTTGGGAGTTCTTGCCTATGTGTCGGTTGGCGGAGTCTTGGCTTCTCTTATTTTGGTTCTCTCTGTTATGTGGGTTGGAGCAGTTGATGGTGTTGGGTTTCATGAAAGAGGAGTTGCTATCAATTGGAGTGGAATCCCTACAACATTGAGCTTATTTGCTTTCTGTTACAGTGGACATTCAGTCTTTCCTACCATATATTCATCAATGGCAGATAAAACAAAATTCTCTCGTGTAAGTAAAATATATGTATCAACCTTGTTTTTAAAATCTGAGAAGAGAAAAACCATACTGAAGTTCATTAATCTCATATAAATAATTCATTTTGCTTGATTAACTTCTCAATCTTTCTTATTGCAGTTTTTATTTGTCAGTTTTGTTATCTGCACCATTATCTATGGAGTAATGGCAGTCATTGGGTACCTAATGTTTGGTGAAGCTACAAACCCCCAGGTGACTTTAAATCTTCCAGTGGAAAAAATGAGCTCCAAACTTGCAATCTACACTACTTTGATCAACCCATTAGCAAAGTATGCGCTGATAATTACTCCAATTGTGAACGCCCTTGAAGAGTGGCTCCAGGTCACAAAGAACAGATTCATTGGCATTCTGATCCGGACTCTCCTCCTGATTAGCACTGTAATTATAGCATTAACTCTGCCATTTTTTGGATATATCGTAGCTCTTACTGGTTCTTTTCTCTGTAGCAGTGCTACAATGGTGCTGCCATCTTTGTGCTACCTTAAGATATTCAAGAGCTCGAGACGTTGGAATGTAGAATTAGTGATGATTTTGGCTATTTTGGTGGTGGGAGTTCTTATTGCAGTGATTGGAACTTATGTTTCCATGAAGCAAATCATAAGAAGTTTATGAAAATCAGTCAGATTATATATCTGAGTGGATTTTCATATTTATACTGAAACTTGTTAGTTGTATGCAAACTAGAGATATAGATATGAGAATAATATTATTGGCTTGACGAGGACTGAGAATATCTTGCATTTGTTGAAATCTCAGTCTTTACTGGCTCTGATTTGTGGTTTGCTTGTTGGTTCTCACCCGGAAAGACTCATAGAATGCTGAAGAACAGTGTCCTGTTCACCACTGTGGGTTGGTTCAGTTTGAAAATAATCCAATGTAAACTAAAAAACCGATTTCAAATGAATTCAATCTATTGATTTGTGATTTATAGCTTGAGAACTAAAAATAAACCAAAATCAAACAAAGTGGTTCAGTTTGATTCAGTTTTGTGTCTGCTAGCTTGTTTAGTTCTGATTTCTGTTGTTTATGGTCGATTTTCTTTGAATTGATTTTTAGCTATGATTGGTTTAGAAACAAAATTTTTGGAGTGGCAATTTTAGTCTTTTTGAAATATTACTTGTAATAGTTTATAATAGATGATAGAAACATTAACTCAAAGCTTTTAGATCTGATTTCTCAGCAAAAAGAGCATATATGTAGGCAAGTTTTGAGGGTGTCAATAAGTGGATCAACAAGAGGCCTAAACTTGCTTAAAATAGATATTTCGATGTAGTATTCTAATTTCTGGTGGATGACTATAACATCTATAAAATCTAACTAGAGGCCATCATTTTGAAGAGGCTTGGAAGAGACCCTACAATTAATTCTTAAGAAGAGAATCTAGAGCTATGTCTAGTAGTACCCAAAGCTTGTTGTCACCAAGACCAACAATTATTGTTGCCGCTCGCTATTATTAATAAAGCCATCACGCATTAAAGTCAAAAAAAGTGATGGCTATCATCGACACTAACACCGATTCTCTTCTTCACTAATAACATTGACATCCATAATCGTTCAACATCACCAACAAGGTTAACATCATTACTAAGTTTGATGTCCTCCATCACCATTAAGGTTGATACCCATTATCACTACGAAGGCTGGGTGTTGCTCTTTTTTGATTAAAATGTTGATGCCCATGATCACTAATAAGGTCAATACACATCCATATTGACATAGTTGGCGCTTGGTATCGTAAAGAAAGCTATTGCTCACCATTGACACCAATGTTGATTCCCCCCATGGCCAATAAAGCCAACACATGTCATCAACACTAACAACAACAACTTACATCACTAGCAAAGCTAACGCTTATGGTTAACATCATCACCATGCCCGCCATCACCAACAAAATTGACACCCACCATTAATATCAAGATCACACCACACTCTTGAGTTTATATATAGTCACAACCAGTAATGAGACGTGTCATCACCATTGAGTTTATATATATTATATTGTATAAATAAATTTCCAATTATTAGAAATGATATCATTTATAATGATGAAAAATACTAGCCTAATAATTTTACATGAGTCATGCTTCATAATTGTTTTCTTTTCCATGTTTTTATGTAAAAATTTTGTTACATTGTGCAACCCTTTTTTATGGGTATGTGTATTAGATATTAGTCTTGTTGCGTGCTAGAATATAAATGGTGATAAAGTTATAATCCTACGTCTTAACATTGTACGGATATCCAGCTCACACACAAAGAACACAAGATTTTGTACGTGGAAAACCCTGGAAAGGGAAAAAACCACGAGGCCTGGCTTAGTTAAAAATGATTTCACTAGAATTCAAGTAGATTATAGTGGGCTGACTCATCCTTAAGGGCGATCAGATTAAAAATGCCAACCGTATGGTTGAAATATAGTGACAAACGGGGATGAAAATCCGGCGTCACTTGGTGGTCTGTCAGAAGTCCGGAGTTAGTTGAAAATTCAGGTGTTAGATGCTAGTCCAATGGTAGTTTGGCAGAACTTCAGCGTCGGGCGGTGATCTGACAGAATTCTTGTGTCGGCAGTGGTCTGATAGAACTCTGGTGTCGGGTAGTGGTCTGGCAGAACTCCGTGCATCGGGTGGTGGTCTGGCAGAACATCGGGCGTCAGGTAGTGCTTTGGCAGAGTTCTGGGCGTCAGGTGATGATCCGGTAGAACTCCGGGCATTAGGAGATGGTTTGGCGGAACTCCAGTTGTCGGGTGGTGATCTGGTGGAACTCCGGGCGTTATGTGGTGGTTATGTGGAGCTCAAGGCGTGAAGTAGTGGTCCTGCGGAACTCCGGGCATCAGATGGTGGTCAGGTGGAGCTTAAGGCATTATGTAGTGGTCTAGCAGAACTCAGAGCGTCAGGTGGTGGTTCGGTGGAGCTCAGAGCGTCAGGTTGAGGTTCTGCGGAACTCAGGGGGCGTTAGGTGGTGGTCCGGTGGAGCTCAAAGCGTCAGGTGGTGGTCCGATGGAACTCAGGGCATCAGGTAGTGGTCCTACGGAACTCAGGGTGTCAGGTGGTGGTTTGGTGGAACTCAGGGTGTCATGTGGTGGTCTGGTTTAGATTTTGGTCTGACAGTGGTCGAGGAGGCAAGGAGGCAAGTGTGATATCTGATCTCTCTCTTTTCTCCTTAGTCTTAGGGGTCACTTTTCAAGAGGAATGATGGGTCTATTTATAGATTTTCTAGAGTGACATGGCCTGTAAATAAGGAAAAAGATCAAGGGTAAATGGGGAGTGATTTGGATAGATGGACGATATTGAATCCTTTGATCGTGGACCGTTCGCTAGACATTTGAAGGTCTTAATGATGTTGGAATTCCATGATCTTGACCTCGTTGATTCATCTCATCTAGACACTCGATTCTACTATAAGCATGTCATGTTTGGAAACAATTTGTTAATCCAAATTGTTGTTTGAACCCTTGATTTGGACCCATTTGGGCTCGGATTGAGTCAAATTTGGTGTTTTTAGGTTCGTATTTTTAAAACGTTCAGTTCGACTGTAAGTTCGTTGAAATCCGAGTTCGGATGATCCCAATTTTAATTTTGGAAGTTTTTAACTTGATTTTTTCTAGAGATTCTTGCCCCGTCAAGATTTTTTTTTTTAGGATGTATCAAGTTTAATTTTAGAACGTCAGACTCTCATTCTATCACTAGGAATCTTCCTAACCTAAATATTTAAAAATAAATTAAATCAAGAAAATATTTATATAAATATCCGAAATAAATGAGGGCTCATTTATTTATTGTTTGCTTGTTTAATACCGAGTGTGAACAGCCAAGTCCTAAACCAAACCACCAGGCAATCGGGCAATCGGGCAATCGGGCAGCATGATATTTGAACGTCCCAACGGTCGGGAACCGCTTTTTCCCTTCTTCCATGAAAAACAAACCCGCCTTAAGCCTTGAGCTCCTTCCTTTGTCCATGGCTTCCTCCCTTGTTCACCTAGCTTACCAAGCCCCGGCAAGAAACATTATTTCCCTCATCAGCGCCCATTCATCTAATAAGTCTCATCTCATCCAAATCCACGCCCAACTCCTCCGCACCTACCTTATCCTCGATATCATTGCCTGCAACACCATTCTGAAAGCCTACATGCAAACTATCTCGCCTTCCAACACACTAACCTTCTACAAGCACATGCGGAGCCTTGGTGTTCGTGGTAACTCATTCTCTTCCTCCTTTGTTCTCAAATCATGTGTCAAACTCTCCTCTTTATTTAGTGGACAGCAGGTTCACGGAAGAGTTGTCCAGGATGGCCACCAATCTGATTCCGTTCTTCTGACGTCCTTGATGACCCTTTACTCTCTGTGCAGGGACCTGGACAGTGTCCGTAAGGTGTTTGATGAATTGCCAACTAGAGACACTGTAACGTGGAATGTGCTAATTTCTAGCTTTACTTGCAGTAACCGAACGAAGGATGCATTGCTTCTCTTTGACGCAATGCAGAGCCCAGAATATGGGTTGGAGCCCGACGAGATTACTTGCTTGCTCCTGCTTCAGGCATGTGCCCACTTGGGCTCGCTTAAATTTGGTGAGCGCGTGCATAAATATGTTGAGGAACATGGATATGGAAACCTTCTCAAGATTAGGAATTCTCTAATTGTAATGTACTCAAGGAACGGGTCTATGGAGAAGGCTTATAGAGTGTTCTGTGATACATCTGAGAAGAATGTTGTTACTTGGAGTTCAATAATTTCAGGGCTGGCAATGAATGGCTATGGAAGGGAAGCTATCAATGCTTTCGAAGAGATGCAGAGGGAGGGTGTGGCTCCTGATGAACAAACATTTACTGGGATTCTCTCAGCTTGCAGTCACAGTGGGTTAGTTGATGAAGGGATTAGTCTATTTGACTTTATGAGATTTGAGTATGGACTTACTCCTAATGTTTGTCATTACGGATGTATGGTCGATCTTTTAGGCCGTGCTGGCTTGCTTGATCGTGCCTACAATTTTATAGTAAATGAAATGATAGTTCTGCCAGATGCTACAATTTGGAGGACTTTGCTTGGGGCTTGCAGAATCCATAAATATGTTGGGCTCGGTGAACGTGTTATTGAGCACCTGATTGAATTGAAAGCTCAGCAAGCTGGGGACTATGTCTTATTACTCAATATCTATGCTTCTGCAGGCCATTGGAATAAGGTGGCCGATGTAAGGAAGTTGATGAAAGAGAGAGAAATTCAAACAAATCCTGGTTGCACTACGATGGAACTCAATGGAGAAATTCATGAGTTTGTTGCGGATGATGGCTCTCATCCAAGGAAGGAAGAAATCTATGCAATGCTTGAAGAGATTGGAACGCAGATTAAAATTGCTGGTTATGTTGCCAACATGGCGTCAGAGCTGCATGATTTGGATAGGGAGGAGAAGAAGGGTGCACTCTCCTATCACAGTGAAAAGATAGCTCTTGCTTTTGGGATTCTTGCAACTGCTCCAGGTAGAACTCTTAGAATTGCAAAGAACCTTCGGATATGTGTAGACTGCCATGATTTCACGAAGGTTTTATCTAGTGTTTATAACAGGGAAGTGATTGTCAGGGATCGTAATAGATTCCACCATTTCAGATATGGACGCTGTTCTTGCAATGATTACTGGTAGGATATCATATTTATTGGGCTTTCAAACTCAACGGACAGCCTGAAGTGGAACTGTTTAGTGAAAGTGATAATGGAATTTAGGTATTTGCGTCTTATAAATGCTGATCAAGGAATCTCCCTCAGAATCTCTGGAAAGATTAGTAAGAACTTTTGCAATTCTATTTTCTTGGTTACTGCAAGGTATTGATTGATCTTTAAACAAATTTCTTAAACATCCTAAAGGGCTGTTTGGTATTGGATTGGATTTAACTTTAGTGGATTTAGTAAATCCCGTAAATCCCGAGATTTAGTAAATTTTGAAGGTATTAAATCCTGAAATCTGTTTGATATAATAAATGTTAAATTTTGATAAATCCTTAGAAACTATTTGGCAACTTAATTCACGATTTAAAGGGGTTGGTTCATTTAGAAATTAAAATTAATGTGTTTTGGATTTAATTTGTACGACTGTTTGATAATTAGATGATTTGTAATATAATAAATGAATTGATAATTAAAGCATTAATAATTAATTTGATAATTAGTTTTAATTAAGCTACTTCTAATTATATTGCTAATTATCTAATTTAATGATAATTATACAATTAATATCTAATTATCTAATTATATTATTAATGATCTAATTATAGTCTTAACTTCTAATTATATTAAACTAATTTATTGATAATTATACAACTAATAATTAGTAACTAATAAATTATAAATATTGATTAAACTAATATAATGATAAGTAGACTATTAATTATTTAAATAAACTTAATTAGATTACTTATTTATACGAAGTATTATTAGATTAATTTATAATCTAGGGTTTGGCTTCGTCATCTATGGGGTTTGGCTTCGTCATCTATGGTATTAAAATCTCGTTTAGTATTATTAGACGAAGCCAAACTCGGTGACCACCAATCATGATCGGATGCTTACAATTATGTCGGGCTGATATACTTGAAATTCTCTATGCCTTGCTAAAATGTTTCTTGCTTGATGCATGTAAGCGCCACTTGCATGGTTGAAAATAATAAATTAAAAATCACACAACAAACAACACGAAGAACACGACGATTTATGTGACTATTAGATAACTCAGATAAATAATTAAATTAGATTACATTTACTGTATACGTGTCATTATCTTATTTGTTATCTTGTATTACTGAGGTTATATATACCGGGTCCTGTACAATGAATAAGACAAGCTTTTACTTTCTTGTTTCCATCTGTTCTTCTTATCTCCTGCTTGCTGTTTCTACGGTTCTACATGGTATCAGTATCCTAGGTCGCCGATCCACCTCGATGACGGACTCTACCTCCTCCCATCTTCATGATAGCGCGATGGATGATCACCAAGAACAGTATACGATTTCTGCCACTCTCAAATTTGTGGTTTCCAATATCAAGAACATCATCCCGGTATCTCTCACTCAGGACAACTACGCGGTATGGCGATCCCAAATTCTCAAGCTCTTTCGAGCCAACGGGTATGAAAAATTTCTTGATTCTTCTACTCCTTTTCCTTCTCCTTCCGTTCTTGGCTCGGACGGATCTTCTCAATCGAATCTGCAATATCATCAATGGCATATTACCGATCAAAACCTTGCGGCATCTTTGTGTTCCACCATTTCTGCATCAATTCTTCCTTATGTCGTTAATCTCGACTCTACTTCCGCCATTTGGTCCACTCTTGCAAACCGTTTCCAAGCCACCAACAGATCCAAAGTTATCCAGCTTAAAAACACTCTTCATAATATTTCATTCAAGAACACGACGATGATTCAATATCTTTCGGAAATCAAGCTTCTCGTCGACCAAATAGCCGCTGCTGGAGCGGAAATTGACAACGAAGATATTATTCTGTATATCTTGAATGGGTTACCGCCTGCCTACCAATCTTTCAAAACATCCATTCGCACAATGCTTAAACCTATCAGCCTTGATCAGCTGTATCCTCTTCTTCTTAGTGAAGAAATTCATATCGCATCTGATGCCGCCAAGCATCCTCCAGCTGGTGATCCAAATCTTGCCTTATACACAAATCGGGGTCGTGGTCGTCGTATCAGAGGTCGATCCTCTTCCTCCTCCGGTCAGCAGACCAGATCCTCGACCAATTCACAAGTGACCTGTCAAATTTGTCTTAAAAGAGGGCACTCAGCGTCTGAATGCTGGCACAGAATGAATGCGAACTATACTCCAACTCAGTCTCAGAATTCCACTCGTGCTCTTGTCGCCGCAGATGAATCTTCTACAAATTCTTGGTTCCTTGACTCAGGCGCTACATCTCATCTCACGAACTCAATGGATAACATGTCCATATCTCAACCATATCGTGGCTCTGACAGGATCGTCGTTGAGGATCGGTCGCTCTCGTCACATCGCCAACCTCTGTAAGGTCGGCTACTGCCGACCCCCTCCGAGTAAGCTAAAAACTATCGAATATTCTTCATATTCCTGGAATTACAAGTACAATTTTGCCTTTCTATCTCAAAATTAATTCAAGACCTAATTGCCATTTCTATTACATTTGATTTCCTCTGGTTCTTGTGGAAGGACCTGAAGACTTACACTATTAAGACTTCAAGGACCGTTGTAAATGCATATCACGATTTATACACCTCATTTAGCACGCAAAGCATATCCCTGCACGCAGAAGCCTCTTCAGTCCCAAAACCATTTCTTCTTTCTTGCTGGGCATCAGAGTCTTAAAGACATCCTCACATAGGTGCAGATTACTCAACAAATTCCAAACTTATTCCGCCATCTAGTATAATACATCCTATGATAAAGATGTTTTCTTGCTCTTTTTTAAAGAGTTCCAAAACTCATAAACTGTTTTGAAACATATTCACTAATCTCCACCTTCTTTCATGGTTCTTGATTTATTTACATTCGATATTTGGGGTCCTTCCCCGGTGGTTTCTACAACAAGGTTTCTTTATTACGTGTATTTGTGGGCGATTTTAACCAAAATTTTCGTGGGTTTATCCTATGCGGTTTAATCTGATTTTCTTCCAAATCCTTACTGCTTTTGAAATCTCAAGTTTGAAAACTAATACTAATGCAATCATTTAAAACAATAAGAACTGATGGTGGCAAGGGAATTACTGAGCCATCAATTTCAAATCATACCTACACAACATCGGTATTTTCATCAAATTTCCTGTCCTTACACCCCCGGAACAAAACAGTTCTGGGTTGCGGAGCGCCAAACACAGCCACATTATTTGGAAGACCATCTCTTATAGAACCCTTCTCAACACTAGTCACATTGCCCTTTTACTAAATATCTATGCGATGTTGAATGCTTGGTTTCTAACTTCTCATCTTCTAAAAATATAGACTGCCTTCTACTCTTACCAGAAATCTTTTCACCGTTTGAACTTTTTCATAGAACCAAACCGAAATATGCTCATCTTCGTGTCTTTGGCTGCGAGTGTTTTCCTCTTCTCCCTCCTCATTCTAGACATAAGCTTCAGCCCAAATCTAAATCGTGTGTGTTTTTAGGATATTCTGATACTTACAAAGGCTATAAATGCCTTGATACTACGACTAATCGGATTATTATTTCCAGACACATCACTTTTAACGAATCCAAATTTCCTTTCCAACACCTATCTGCTGATTCAGGCTCTTCTCCAAGCCGGGAAACCCCTCCTCTTTTACTTCAACCTACCTCCAAGGCAATTCAGCCTATGCCTTCCCTTACACTAACTAACCAATTTCCCATTCCGTTACCAGCTGCCACTTCACATAGACCAACCATCCCTGTCAATTATTCGAATGATCTGCCCATTTCCTCTCCAGTCTCTGTTTCTTCACCTACGCCTCCCAGCAACCTGGCCGAGACTACTCTACCTCATAACACTCACCCCATGGTCACTAGAGCAAGAACCGGCTCGCTTAAACCCAGAATTCGTTTGAATCTATTTCATAACAATTCTTTACAGGAACATATGCAGGCTCCTACTTCATATTCAGAAGCTGTGAAACATTCAGAATGGAGAAATGCTATGGCTATGGAATTTTTAGCACTTCAGCAACAGGGAACCTGGAGTTTAGTTGAGCCACCACCAAATTCCTCTATACTAGGGAGCAAATGGACGTATCGGATTAAACGTCATGAAGATGGTTCCATAGCAAAGTACAAGGCCAGATTGGTAGCACTCGGCAATCATCAGGAATACGGCCTGGACTACACAGAAACCTTCAGTCCCGTGGCCAAACTTCCGACGATTCGTATTTTGCTTACAGTTGCTCTTCACCATGACTGGCCAGTACAGCAGTTAGATGTGGCCAATGCTTTCCTGCACGGAACATTATCGGAGCAAGTATTCATGATGCAACCAAAAGGTTTTGAAGACTCTATCAATCCCGGCCATGTATGTCGCCTGAACAAAGCTATCTACGGTTTGAAACAAGCGCCTCGCCAATGGTATAACACGTTCACCTCATATCTTGTCTCCATTGGTTTTATTCATAGTAATGCTGATCCGTCTTTACTAATTTTTCGCTGCAAAGAAATTCAAATTTATTTACTTGTATATGTCGACGACTTGCTTATAACTGGTAATAATCAGAAGGAAATTGATACTGTCATATCCAAACTTCATATGCAATTTAATATGAAGCATCTTGGTCACGTACATGACTTCTTAGGTCTTAAAATCGATTTCCAAAACCAGTCTTACTTCTTATCTCAACAGCAATATGCAGAGTCTATTCTTAAACAAGCTGATCTTCAGAATTGCAAGGCTTTGGCAAATCCAAACTGCACGAAACTTCCGTCTGTTATTCCAGAAATCGAGTCCCTGTCCGATCCTTCGCTTTACAGACGGATTACTGGGTCGTTGCAATATCTAACCTTAACACGTCCAGACATTGCATTTAGTGTAAATCAACTCTCGCAACACATGCATGATCCAACACCCGAACACATTTATCTTCTTAAGAGGCTACTTCGGTACATTAAAGGTACGTTATCCTACGGTATTCCAATCACTTAATCTAATCTTGTGCTTCAATCCTATTCTGATGCAGATTGGGCGGGGGATCCAAATTCTCGGAGATCTACATCAGGATATTGTTCTTTCCTCGGCAACACGATCATTTCCTGGACAGTCAAAAAGTAACCTACAGTTGCCCGTTCCTCCACGGAGTCGGAATATCGAGCATTAGCAGCATTAACGACTGATGTGATATGGCTTCGCCGTCTTCTTGCAGAGTTCGGCATACCTCCAGATCAACCGACCAAAATGTTCTGTGATAATATGTCGGCTATTGCACTG